CTCTGCCTGCCTCTCTGCCTACTTGTGATCTCTGTCTGTCAAATAAATAAATAAAATCTTAAAAAAAAAGAATCGTATTTTATGCTGAGTAGTTCATATAGTGATTTTGTTACAAATTAGACATTTCGATATTGGGAACGTTTTTAACTGTTGCCTCAGAACACTTGTATTGGGTTATTTATTTCTGTTACCAAACGTGTACAACAGCATCGCCAGTCCCCACCCTGCTGTGGGAGGACACAGCTATCACTGAGTGATAAAATTAAAATTTGGCTAGTTTGCTTAAAGATTCAGGGTTAAGTGTTAGTGGCAGTCACCCAGGGAAACCACCAGTGCCCACGGCCTGCTGTGCCTCTCTCTCCTCCCCTGACTTGTGCTGCTCCAGAGGGAACCTGTGTTCAAGGAGCAAGAGCCCCTGGGGAGACAGACCCCACTGTCATCTGGCCAGTGCCTGATCACCGTTAAACGTCGGGATCTTTGGTTCCAGCTACGTTGGAGGGCTCAGGTTAGGCCCAAAGCCTGATTGTCAATCCAGGTCATGGATTGCTAAGAGAACTCAGAGCAATGAGGAAGGCACATGGCACATGGGCTCAGAGCCACGTGGGGGCCACCCAAGCACCCAGCCACAAAGCAGGAGGATGAGCTGGGGCCGGAACCCTTCCTCCCATTGACCTCGTCCTCTGGTGAATACGGCCCAGTCCCAGTCCTGGAATTTGGTGCTTTCCTCCTAAGTCATTCTGTAGGGAAGAGTGAAGAACATGAGGCGGACAGAGGTGCAGAGTCATGCTACAGGAGAGGGTGCTGGGAGCCTGGTAAATAAGACCTTCCCCCCTAGTCATATGCACAGAAATGGGAAGAATATTCATACTTACCAGGTACATATGCTGCCCTGGGTTAGGCATGTCATTCATCCTGTAGATATTTTGCGGGGCCCTGCTGTATAGGCCCCTGCTAAGCATAGGGATTACAAAAAGGAGCAGATGTTACGGGTCCTGCTCATGAGCGATGTGGGAAGGAAGGGAAGCCACATGACAGGAGGAGGTGTCATGGGTTTCCTCATCCTTGCCACTTCCCCCTGCCCGACCCGGACACCTTACCTGAGAAGCCCGCCTGTCCCAGGTTCTGCCAGGTTCCTCTAGCCCCTTGTCCCAGTTGGGCCAGTCACAAGAGGCCGGCTCCCTCGCCCTTGGCAGCTCTGCACAGGCTGGTGTGCACTGCGGCTTCCGCACAGACACCTGAGCACACCGGGCTCCTGTGGGCGGGCTTCCTGGGGCGGGGGTGCTTAGGAGTGTTCTGATCCATTTTCTTATTTGTGTGTCGATTTCTTTGCATTTACAGTTTCAGCAGTGCACAAAGAAACCAAGCAGTTCTTCACTTTGTATAATACCCTGGATGATAAAAAGGTGTATTTGGAAAAAGAGGTAAGAACCTGTATGAAAAGAAAATAACTTCATCAGATGATCAGAGACCAGGGCTATTGACCCCTGGAAGGTCAGATGAACTGAGCAGGAGGCCGTCAGCATAAGTGGAAGGAGAGCCCGCTGTGCGCCCCATGCTGGGTCACAAAGTTAGAGCGGAAGGGTCACCTCAGAGCTAACGTTGCACGCGCACCTGGGCCCACGTGGAACTGGTGGAGCGCGGTTTCGTGGTGCCCTATGAGAAATGACATCTAGAAACAAACACAAGAGGCTCACAGGGAGGGAGCCCGGCTTGGCAAAAGTTACGTTTGAGTTTTAAAGGAAGGGAGGAAGCAGCAAAATAAAATGGGGATGGTGGGCTTATTCGAGTTGATGCGGGGAAACTAGCTATTTCGTCATCACCGTTCGCCAAGAATGAAGAAGCTGCCCCAGACACTGACTCCGCCCTCCGCATCACTCCGATGCTCGGCGTAAATCCACTCATGACTCGGGGCTCCCTCCCATCCAGCAGCAGATGACTGGAGCAGGCCGGCAGGGTGTGCAGCTGTAGTTGAAGGAAGAAGAAAAGGAACAATGTGGTCTTCACAGGAGCAGCATAGCACAGTGGCGAGTGTATGCGCTTTCAAGTTGGACAAGTTTAGGGGTTTTTCTGTAAAAAGGGCATTGCACCTGCTTTGTATGAATGTGACGGAGACAGAATGGGAAATGACGGTGAAGGTCCTTGCATCTGGTGACGCCAGGCACATACTAGTCCTGCCCACCCCTCACCTCCAGGTCGGCAGAATCTGTTTCCATTTCATCACTGGGCCAACCCACACTGATTACCCCTCAGTAAGAACCATATCACAGGTGCATCTTTCACATGGCCCCAAATGGAGGCCTGTGTAATTAGTGTCCCCTTTCTGGGCTATTGTCAGCCAAATCAGATCAATCTCTGTCTTCCTAGAGGACACTTCTGAGGAGGGGCATTGAGTTCTGTTTTTCTCTATATCTGGGGTCTTCCACAGTGACGGGCACATGGCAGGCTCTTACCTCCTTTTGCTTATAGGTTTTCCTTTTTCTTTTCCTTTCCTCCTCAGATCAGCCTGCTGAACTCAATTCATGAGAACTTCTCACAGTAAGTACTGGCAGCCCTCCTTCCCATCAGTACCCGGGTGTACCCTGCACGGTGCATTCTGCTCACCTCCCTGCGGTAGCAAGAACAAGGGGGGAGACGGGGCTAGCAGGTGGTTTTTACGCTTTCACCCCTACTGCGAAGTGCACCCGTGTCCTGCTTTACACGGTCTCGGGGTTCTTGCAAAAATACCGTGATGTTAGAGGGAGTTTGAGAAACACCAAGGAATATCTTGGGAAAAAAGTAACTTCCAAGTAATTTGTGCCTCACTAGTGTAATCTCTGTTTATTTTTTTTTTTTTTTGTCTTGTTAAGATTTGATCAATACCATTAGTTCTTGAGCACATAGAGATGCTTCACAATCTAGATAATGAAATAATATAATTTTTTAAAAGATTTTTAAATCTAATGATAGATTTTGCTTTTAGGTCACTGTGCATCTTCTAAATAACTTTATTCAGATAGGAATTCTTTTTCCCCAAGAACTATATGGCAAGACCCACCTGCACCCAAGTCATACCAGCCCTCATGCGTGCCCAGTGGTCTGCTCACCGTACAGCAGCCCAGGGCTTGCTGTCTATACAGCAGGCTCCTTTTGCTTCCAGCACAAACCTCTCTTAGCCCCTGGCAGGTGACCGGTAACTAAGATCTGAATGGATTACGAACTCTAGATCTTAAGCTTCATTTCTAACTAAAAATCACAGCTCCCTGATAAGATTCAGATTCAGTTAGTGACTTATAGCCCTGTGACATTTCTAAAAATGGTGACTTCCTCATTATTTCCTGATAATTGAGAGACACTGCAGTGTTCGATGGTGCCGTGATGAGCTCTGCTCTGTCAGCCATCCTGTGGAAGAATTCTCAGTCCTTGTGTCTGTGGGCTTGGATCCTTGTGGTGCCATTCCCAGCGCAGAACAGGAAGTGAAGGGGACAGTTTCAGGACACCAGGAAATCCACTCATTTAGCTGCTGCCTTAAGAAACAGGACCAGGTTTCCTGACCGTGTATTTAGGAAAATCTCAGAAGAGGTCTACCAGTCTGGAGCAGTGCCTCCAAATCCTCAGATTTCTAAAAACTAAATGGAAATCATTTTTTAGGCAGTGTATGTCATCATCAAAGTAAGAAATGTTTTTGTTGATTTTAATAACATTTTGTTTTACTTTACGTAAATACATATTACTTAAGCAATTTGTAGAGAAAGTGAGAAAAGATTAATATTCAGTTATGAGATGAGGCTAATTGTCGCGCCTTCCTCGGAGGTTAGAATTCCTAACTGCCTTGGACTCGATGCCTCCCCCTTCCTCAGTGTCCCGCATTCTGTTCCTCACTCTGCTGATTGTTCCTTCCAGAGCCATGGCCTCCCCTACTGCCCGGGACCAGTTTTTACGTCAGATGGAACAGATCGTAGAAGGAATTAAGCAGAGCAGAATGAAGGTGAGAGGGCTCGTTTTCTGTAGTGCAGCTGGGATCTCATCCTGGTTTCAGAAAAGGTCTTGGGAAGAGCAGGCCTCTTCTGCTTGTCTTGAAAATGTGCTCCCAGTCCTGAAGACCCACCTTCAGTGTCCACAGCGTGCGTGCCCAGCATGCCTCCGACCCTGCAGTGGGCAGTGCCAGCTCCACAGGCTGGTGATTTAAAGGCAGCTCTTAACAGTAGCCCCATGGATTGAACACCCACTATGGGCCAAGCCTGGTGCTAGTCCTCCTAGAAGGTTCCTAAGTGAGTAGTGTTACCCCCGTTGTATAGGTGGGGAAAGCAACTTTCACCAGCGTTGTCTTCTCTTGCTCACAGTCTCTTCCTCACTGGATCTTTGGTTCCTTTAATTCTGCCATTAGAGATTCATTCCTTAGGATCCTGAGAGCATTTTAGTTTTCAGGAATCCTCTATAAAAAATGCAAATAATTACCAAACTGAATTCTGAAGTGAGAGGATGTTATGCCTCAGAAGAGAAGAGCGGTATCAGTAAGCATTGTGAGAGTTCCAGAGATAGCTTTACAGAGAATCATTCAGTCTGGGGCCAGCATGGAATTTTTATCAGTCTGTGGCTCTGCACTTGGGCCATTTTGACAGCAGTAAGAATTTGATGACTGTCTGGAAATCAGACGTAGCCACAATTTTCTGCTGTTATAACCAGACGAGAACTCACTAATACTCCCAAATCTCTTACTTTTGATCCCTTTAAAAACATGGATCACACTGGAATGGTCCTCAGGCATGGCCGTGTGACCTTCTGGGGACTCAGGGCACCTGCTATCTTGAGCTTGGACAGAGTGATATTGGGAGTGACGCCAGAATTCAGACACACAAAGAAAAGAGTGTCTGTGGTACTTGTCATCGTAAAAACCCACACACAGATGGCAAACCTTCACGCTGCCTATAATCTCATCTCACAAGAGATGAACTAAGGGCAGAAGCTCTTTATATCCCTTCCCCTCTAGAAAAAAACTAATCTCCCCATTAGTGACTTCAATAAAATGATGTCAGTGGAGGAAAAATAAAATTACCACTAGTGACAAAACTATTCGGCCCCAAAAATGAAAGCAGTTGTGAGGCAGCACCTGGTCTGCCTTGCACGGGTACACAAACCCAAGTCAGGACGGTCCCTTCTTGATGAGCTAGGTAGGGTGTAATAGAGGAGGAGCACAGAGAGCCCAGCCGACCACAAGCCTTTAACAAGATCACAGCGTGGCAGGCCTTTCCTCCCTGCCATCATGCCGTCATGCTCCTCCTTAGGGAGTGGCTCTTTTTTTTTTTTTTTTTTTTTTTTGAGAATTTAAGAGAGCTGCTGAGTGGGGGTCAGGGAGAGAGAGAAAGAATCTTAAGCAGGTTCCACCCCAGCACAGAGACTGATATGGGGCTCCATCTCACAACCCTGAGATCATAACCTGAGCTGAAATCAGGAGGCAGCGGCTCAAGCCACTGAGCCACCTGGCAACCTGCAGAGCTGTTCTTGTCCATAGTAAAGAACACGGGCAATCGATTTGAGGTTTGTTTCTTTCCCCTTGGCTTCCCTTCCTGTTTACCAGGAGATGCCTTCCTAGGGAAGGAAGCGGATTTGATCCATTCATCATCTCCATTCTCCCCCAGGCTTCATGCTGTTGGTACCTCAGTGCTGACCGGTGGAAGAGGCTGCTCTGTGCATCTGCCTCCCCAGCTAGGTGGTGGGGTATGAGATGGGGGGCATGCCCACGGGCAGAGAGGGCTCTCTTCTTCATGTGTGCATCACCAGTGGCGAGCCCGGCACCTGACCCATGGTGGGCTTTCAAGAACTGTTTGCTGAGTGAGTGAATTCATTCAGCTGACTGCAAAGGCAGTTCTCAAAGAGGGTTCCCGGTCAGGTTTGAATATTGGCTGGCACTTCAAATGCAGGAAGGCTGTCTTTGCAGAACAGCATGCGTTTGAATGCATGTCTTTTGATGTATTTGTTTTAAAAACCATAGCACTCCCTTTATGGATGCCACAGTGGCTCCTGCTCAGAGTGTATGTGGCAGGGAGTCTGTGTCCTCATGGAGCACACACACTCCCAGAATCGGTGGCTATGGGATGTACACAGAGTGGACCATAGACCAGCAGTGTGTACACGCAACAGTGCATGGTACACGGAGGGGCTCCTGAGTGAAGAGAGAGTCACGTAGTGTAAGGCATTTTATTTTTTTTAAAGATTTTATGTATTTGACAGAGAGAGAGCACAAGCAGGGGGAGTGGCAAGCAGAGGGAGAGGGAGAAGCGGGCTTCCCGCAGAGCAAGGAGCCCAAAGCAGGGCTCGATCCCCATTCCCTGGGATCATGACCCAAGCCGAAGGCAAACACTTAATGACTGAGTCGCCCAGGCGCCCCGCTGGAAGGCATTTGCACCTCATCCTGAGGAGGTGAATCCTGGGAGCAGATGCTCAGCAGATGAATCTGGGGCTCCTGACCTCGGGTGTGGGGGTGAGCAAGGAGTGGGAACAGTGTGCCTGGGGGGCGGGCTACTAGGACAGTGTGAAAATAAAACTCAGACCTAAGAGTCATCTCCTGATTCTGAGGGTGAGGGGGCTCGATCTGCTTGTTACCACTCACATTCTGGGTGTCGGTGTGAAGACAAAACCTAGTCTCTGTTGAAGAGCTACTGTGAACCGAGTGATGTGTCGTTCACGTCACAGTTAATATCATCTGTACCTTGTGACCTGTGATCTAGGTGATAATATCCTTATTTTGCTACTAGGATACCTGTCATTCCGAAAGATGAAATAACCTGTCCAGGGATACACAGTGAGTGTAGGACAGGGGGCTCAGGATCAGGTCACCAGGTGACTTAGGAGCTGGACACATGGTCAGGAGTGGTCCAGGCAGATCAGTGGCTCTGTGGTTGGGATAGGCTTTGGGGACACCGGGTTGCAGTTCACCAGGTGATGGGCCTGGGGATGCCTGGGATCCCGTGCAGCCAGTGAAGCTTTAACCTGAATTTACTGGGCAGTCCCTTCCAATGCGTACCTCAGAAGCCCTGCTCAGGCATCAGAGGCCAGTGAGTCCGTCCAACGCACTCGTGAGCACCTGCTGTGAGCCAGGCACCAGCTGCCTCCACAGCTTTCTGCCCTCGCCATCCGCGACGCCCTCGCTCGCTGCTGGAAATCATGCACATACCACCGCCGACTCTGCCCAAATGTCATCTCCTCAGAGAGCCCTCCCTGACCCTCCAGCCTGAAGAGGCCGTGCACCCACCCACCTCTCTGTCCTGCAGCCCTGTCACTGTCTTCACAATGGTGATCACGAATAGGACTTTGCACACAGAACTCATTGTGCGAGATGCGTGGTTAGCATCAGCCCCTCTAGCTCACACCCTCCACGGGAGCAGTGACATGACCTCGTCACCACCACATTTAGTCCTCAGGGTGAACACGCAATATTTGTTCAAATATTAAGCTGTTAGGTACCTTAGGAAAGTCTCTAACCCAAATGCATCCTGTATTTATGAGGTCACTGTCCTGGAAACACCCTAAATTTTCCACCAATAGAAAAATGGGTAAAATAGCAGTAAGATTGGGACTATTCTTAGAGTTTTTTAGGTTGTTTTTTTTTTTAAGATTTTATTTATTTATTTGACAGACAGAGATCACAAGTAGGCAGAGAGGCAGGCAGAGAGAGAGCCGAAGACAAGCAGGCTTCCTGCTGAGCAGAGAGCCCGATGCAGGGCTCGATCCCAGGATCCTGGGATCATGACCTGAGCTGAAGGCAGATGCTTTAACCCACTGAGCCACCCAGGTGCCTTGAGTTTTTTAGGTTTTGATTGTAAGAAAGTGTATAATAGCATGGAAATACTATGAAAATGTATGGAAATAATGCATGAAAGCAGACTCAGTTATTTACATAGGGGTTCCTCAGCCTCAGCACAGTTAACATTTTGGACCAGATGATACCTTGTCGTGTGTGAGGGCTGGGCTGCACATTGTAGAAGGTTTAGCGGCATCCCTGGCTCCTAGTGGACCCTCTCCTCTCAGCTGTGGCTACCTAATCCATCCCCAGACACTACCTCATGCCCTTCAGGGGCCAGAATAGCCCCTGGTTGAGAAGCACCAGGCCGTTGATTGTGAAATTGTAGACACACACACACACACACGCAAATGGGACAGTTAGTGCCCAGTAATAGAATTGCTGAAGAAATGAGAGAAGCTTCTATGTAATTTCACCCAAATAAATAGGTCAGTCTCAGAAGTGGTGTGCAGAAAGAGAAATACTGGAAGGAAGTCCGTGAAGATATTGGTAATAGTTGCCTTCTGAGTGTTGCCAGCAGCCCTTGGTCACAATGTGCCCCTTCCTCCCCATTTCCCAAACTATTTCCACAGATGGAAAAGAAGAAGCAAGAGAACAAGATGCGAAGAGACCAGTTGAACGACCAGTACTTGGAACTGTTAGAAAAGCAGAGGCTGTACTTTAAGACTGTGAAGGAGTTCAAGGAGGTAAGGCGGAGATGGGGCCAGCCACAGAAGTCTGTGGAGGGGTTGTGTATGTCTCAAGACGAGCCTTGAAAAACCAGAGCGGTTGCCTGGTTCCCCACTGGTCTGGGGATGGGCCACAGCTGTGTGATCCCACAGTGAAGTACCGCATCTAGCTAGTTCAGGACTGTGTGGTTCGCTGGCCCATTCTCAAGTCTCGAACGTTCTGAGAGATATCACGTCTTCATTTTCATTCCCCTAACGTTTAGTAAGCATATTAAACCCATAAGAAGATAGCTTCATAGGCCACCTGGAAACAGCATTCATTACACTTTCAGATCTGGAACTTTCCTTCGTCCCATCCGAGGTGGGAGAGGGACCTTGAGAAGCCTGTGGGAAGAGTGAACTTTGAGCTTGGCAGGCTTGGGTTCGAACCCTGCCTTTAGCACTTACCAGCTGTGCACTTGGGCAGTGGCTAAATCCCCTCACACCTGTTTCCTCGTCGGTGGTTCTGCTGGGTCACATGAGGGATAAAGGCGTCTAGCACTCTGTCTGCCTCCTATGATGTCCAACACTCAGCTGAATTTTGTCTCCATCTTCTCTCCCTGCATTTGGGAATGGACCATGCTCCATGGGCTCAGAAAGAGAAGTGTTTGCCCTTTTCTTACGAGATTTTCCAGAAAGGAGACTTCATGTTGTCATTTACTGGGGTATCAGCAACTTCATTTTCAGGAATTCCTTCCTCCTTTCTAACTCAAATCCATGTGATTTCAGGGAGTGTCGAGATTGCTGAATATAGACAGCTAGAGGTGTAGCTTGTATGTATCCTGGTGTTGGGTCTGCAGAATAAAAAGTACGATCTTTTTATACCAAAAATTTTATTTCTGTACATTTTTAAAAATTTGTTTCTCCTTCCCAATTTTTCCTTTTCTACCTCTCCTTTCCTTTTTTTAAATTTAACTTTTGGGGGCCACAACCCACAGACATTTCAAAATCTTTCACACTTTCCATAAATGTTCTTCCAGCTCCTTCCATGCCTCTGGGGATATATCAGGTTGTTAAACAGACCCACTCCCTGTGTCAAGAAGCTTAATGTTGTGGTTGGGGAGACAGATAGCAAGCTAGAAAACACAAATCCCAGTAAACAAGTAGTAACAAATAACTAACTTCAGTTTTGGCTGGAGGTAGGGGCACTAACAGAGATGGTGCGGTCAGGGAAGGTCTCTCTTGGGTGTGGACTTGGCCATGGGTGCAGCAGGAGACCTAAGTCTGGGCAGCTGGGAGAGTGACTGGGTGAAGTGCTCAGGGTCTAGGAGCCCCGTGTGGTTAGTAGGGGCTGGAGCTGAAGTTTTGGAAGGGCTAATGAGTGAGCTGAGGGATCAAACAGGACTCACTGCTCCCCAGCAGAACTTTTTTTTCCCCTTTAATGCAAATAATTCAGAAAGAGAAAAGGCCCAGCAGGGAGGAATGAAATGTTGCTTGGGCAAGCCAGCACTTCCCTTTTGACAACAGAAACAGAAAACAGATAAGTTGAGGAGGGTAAGTATAAGCTGTCCAAATCAAAGCACATAAAAGCAAAATGGACAAGCTCATTCTCGTACTCCACGCTCTCAGGACTGAGATGACCTCCAAAGGCAGCGGTTCCTTCAGGGACAGTAAGCATCAGACTTTCTGTGTTCCTGTCTCTGTGGGCACAGAGCCTCTTGCACCAGGGGGCACGAGGGGGTACCTCCAAGCCGCTGAGACCCCCAGACCGTGTGCCTGCCTGTGCCGTTTTCCTCCATCCAGAACAAGTCAGGGTAAAAAGAGGAAGGGGAGTGTATGTTCTTCAGACAACTAAATAGATTTCATTTAAGGGACTCACCTTTAAAAAACAAAAAAACAGCCTGTTTTCTTGGTTTTTGACATGAAAGTGATAGTATTTACTACTTTTTTCTTTTTTAACTTTTCACTTGGCAAAGATTTAAAATTAGCAACTGCGTGTCAGTGTTCTGAAATCTTGAACTTCTTCCACCCGCTCGTCTGAGGTGACATGGCCCCTCTTGGGGCTGCCACAGCTTGAGGAAGAAGAGGCAGCGGAGGCTTGCAGCTCCCTGGTTTCCACCCTGCTCCTTCAGCCCGGGCGGTGCTGCTCTTTCACAAGAGGGCAGTTGCCTGATAAGATCTCCTGTGTGGTGGAAGATCCGTGCGAAGGAGCAAACCTTCGTGTCAGGCTCTTCTTCCGGAACCCTCTCTGTTCTGCTCACTGTCCTTGCCTCTCCCCTGCCTGCCTGGTCTTCTCTGCTGGGTTCTCCGTGCCCACCATTTCCCAGTCTCTGGTGCTCGTGCCAGCAGCCGCACGCAGAGCACAACCGCAGCATCCAGAGCCCGGCCCTGGCCACCTCCGTCGTGCCCGTCAGTGGGTTTGTGTCCTGCATGCTCACTGAGCCGAGATGGCGCCCCCTCATCCTGAGCCCCAGCCTCCTCTGGCGTCGGGACACTGGTTACAGACATCAGTGATGTCTGAGTCTCCATGGGCTTGCTCGTCGCAGCCGGGTTTGCTGACAGCAAGTCTGCCAGGGAACAACACATACTCTGAAGTCTCTTCAGCTGCTGTGTCACATTAATTAGCCATGTCTCTAAACCACAGTCTCTCTTAAGGTCACCAAAGCGAGCTTTAAATTCTAGCCTCGCACTGACGAATGCAGGCCGTGCTTTTTCATGAAGCTGACTTTGAGTACAGAGTTTCGAGGGGGCTGACGTTCCATGTCCGGCACGTGGTGGGCCACATGCGGTCTTCAGTAGGAGAGAAACAGGCAAGGAGGTTGTTTCCCTTCTCTTCTGGAAGGAAATGCCTAAAGGACCCTTTCTGCATTTGCTTTGAACAGATGGACAGTATCATTCTGTAGCTTCCCCAAAGGCCTCCAGTAGATTGCATGAGACTTCATCAGTGCTCACACATAGCACGTGACGGGAGGACACCTGTCCTGAGATGTCCCGGCATCATGTCGGCGTCTTGTGCGTACCCTGGCCCCTGCTGAGGACGCTACGTGCAGCAGACACTGCTGAGTTGTTTTGCCTCATTTAGAAGTGAAAGTGGGTGACAGCTGAATGTATTTATTCATGGCTTTGTTGTTTTATCTTTTTTATTACGGAAATTTTCAAAAAATACACAGAAGTAGAGAGAGTCTTCCATCTTTTCTTCCATCTTTACCAACACACCAGCACCTTGTTTTTGGCTAAAGCTTTTCTCCCCAAGCAAATCTCAGTAACTCATTTTATTTTATTTTCAATAACTCCTTTTAAAGAGGAAGACTTTCTTCTCTAGTAAAACAAATGTTACTAAAGGTCTTTCTCTTCCCGCACCGCAGGACCAGTGAACTGCCTCCCCCTCCAAGAACCTGCAGTCAGAAAGTGTCAGAGTGCCTTGCTTCTGACGGTAATTCAGCCTTACCCCCCAGCCCAGAGCCCAGCCCTGAGGAGAAGGCTAAGTACCTGCACGTGAACTGGCACTTAGTAAAAACAGGGTCCCTGCAGCCATGAGCTACAATACTGCCAGAAAGAACCAAGGGCCTGCAGAGAGCTGGGAGCACCTAGCTAGGTCCGGGGAGATGGAAATGTTGACTTTGGGGGTCTTGGATGCAGAGGGCTCAAGGGTGGAAGAATTTCTTCCACACTAAGGGCCTCTCCAGGGGAGCGTGGCTTCTGGACGCCTGGCCTCACTCTCAGGCCGGGCCCTTCCAGCTTGCCTCTCCAGGCCCTTCCTGCTGCCATGTTCACTTCTCAGTTTAAAGCCAGCTCCGGTGATGGGACCCAAGGATGGAGGGGACAGTGATTGCCAGCAGATGGAGGTGTCCTGAGCTGTCAAGGCCAGTGGGAACAAGAGGGAAGGAGCATGTGTAGTGAGCAGCTCTCGGTCATGTTTGAAAAGGCAGATACAGAGTGATGCAGAGGTGACATCAAGTTCCACACACAGGGCCTGGGACCAGGGACCTCCCTCAGTACATGCAGTCATGGATCTCATACAGCTTATTTGTAAAAGAGGAGGGTCCCTCGGTGCATGTCTCTCTCCCAGTCTTCAGTGAGTTTGTTTTCTTAACGCTAAGGATGTGCCCAGTCTTCGCTGTTGTCAGGGTGAGAACTTGGCCATGTGCTCTGCTTGCTGTGTGAACTAGGTTTGCCTTTCATCAGTCCTTCAGCTGCGGGCTCCGAGTACCTTCCCCTTCCTTCCTTACCACAGTGGTCCAGGATTGGCGCTTAAGTGTCTGCTGGCTGCTTCTGGCCCCTTGAGGGCTACAGGGGCTCCATGAAGTCTTTTGGAAGGACAGTGCCTAATCCTCACCCGCTCTCGGTCTGACAGTCCAGAAGCCACTTGTCATTACAGTAATTTTGGCACCAGAGGCCAGGTGAACCCATTCCAGCTGCTCCGCAGTGCTTGTGGCAGCGTGCACAGGGCCCGGTCTAGTCGGCCCGTTGCTGTGTCTCCGGGGACTAGGGAAAGCTAATGGACACATTCTCTGTTTCCTCTCCAGGAGGGCCGCAAGAATGAGGTGCTGCTGTCCAAGATGAGAGCCAAGGCCTCCTGAAGATTCCCAGACATCACCGTATGTCGTCGATATTTTTTTAACGCCATTTATCAACTGCAAGATGGTGAAGATAGTTCTGGGCACTACAGTAGAGAGTTGCAGGGGCCATGATCGCAGCACCAGGATATTTTCTTTCTCCCATTTGCTTCCATTTCATCTCTCTGTTGTTGACGGAATCAGATGGTGCAGACGCGGTGGCTTGGAGAACCCCCGTCATCCTATGAAGAAATGCGGGCAGTATCTGTTCTGTGTCGGGTCAGCTTGAATTTCTCCAGTAACATTGCACATACGAAGGTACCTGTATCTGTGTGGACTCTGAATAAAAAGGAATTTACTTGTTCAGCAGATGTTAATTGAGCAACCATTGAGGAAGTAGGCACTGAGGGAGACAGAAGTATAAAATCCAGGCCCTGTGCCTTGGGCAGCCAGCAAGTGGCCCAGGGAGCAGAAACAGCCCATTTGACCCAGAGCTCAGCTCAGTCACCTGAAGTTTTTTGGTTCTTTTTTTTTTTTAGTAAGCGAAGGCTTTTAGCTGAATGACCAGCCCACGTGAGTATGGTCATGTGGGCCCTTTGCTTACCCTTGGTGCCTTTTGTTCTGGCTCCTCGAGGTGCCAGCCAGCAGTCTTAATGGTGTAGTCGCAAGAATGAAAGCTCAGTGGCTGAATTCTTACACATGACTCGAGTTTATTTCACCAAAAATTGAAAACAGGGGCCTCATATTGAGGACCCCGTAAACAAGAAGGACACCTTAATATGCCCTGTTTCTCACGTGAGTCCCAGCCAGACGTGGTGCCCCCCCTCTTCATTAGGCACACATGCCAGGAGCTCCATGTCTGGACAGGTCCTGGGCCAAGCACAGAGATGAGACACCATCCACTGGGCTCTGGGCATTGTGCGATAAATGCTGTGAGCAAAAAGCAGAGGGCATCGGAGGAGGAAGAACAGTGAGGCGCACAGAGATCCAGGAGACTTCATGGGGGAGGTAGTACTGGGACTAGAGCAGAACGGGGAGTTGCATTTTAACAGGCGGAGATAGGTGGGAAGGCCTTTGGATAAATATGACTGTAATTAGCAACTTGAAAGGGTGCAGGGAGAGTACAAGCGTGCTTGTTGGGCAAGGAGTGGAGGGGCCTGTCTGCAGGAAAGGCCGGCTGGGACCAGCCTTCAGGACCAGGGGAGGCGGGGGCTTGAAGGCAGGCAGAGCAGTAGACTCTGTCCTCCAGAAATGAGCAGTCAGGACCAGATGGGAAGCCCCTCCTTTTGTGGCTGTCAGGGATCCGGCAGCCCGGCCGTGTCCAGTGAACCCTGGCACGAGGTGGGCATTTCATTCTGCGTGCTTGCACGCATGCTAGTCAGCGGGCTCGAACGTGACACATAGAAGCTTATACAGGGAGGCAGCTGGGGCGTTCAGTGCAGTCACAGGAACAGCACATCCATTCTTAGTTCTCTGAGATGTGCAGTAAGCAAATCTGATGTGCACAGACCTTTAAAAATCCCTTGCTGGATTAGCAGCAGGCGCTGGTTTCTGTGGTTGGGCAGCAAGGCCTGTCCGGGTCCCAGAGCTGTGGAAGCAGCAGCGCCCGAGGTGGTGCTCCCCTGTGCCGAGTGTGCCCTTCCTGGGCCCTGTACGTCTCCCCTCAGTGGCTCCACGGGGCTGCTGCCAGCTGCAGGTTGATTTTTGAGACGGCCCCATGAAGTTGAAGCCGGCGACAGCCAGAAAGCAGGTGGCCCTCTGAGGGCTGGGGAGGGGGCAGCTGTTTGCCAATTATTTCAGGTTTGGGGAAACATCTGTGTTTTTGTGTTGAGAAGCTCATGGACCCACTCCCTAGCCTTGTTTTGAGCCGTTATGAAATTGTCTTATTTGTCCAGAGGTGGTAGGGAGGAGAGTGGGTTGTATTCTGGGGTTCGGTAGCCCACCTCTGCTATCAGGGCAAATACGGCATGACTAATCCAAAGTCACTAATTAATAACCATTTATAACCATTAATAACCATTAATAACCATTTTATTGGGCTGTGTTTCCAAAGAATTTCATTTTGATTTGGTTTTGCTATAGGGAGGTATCAGATTTCCTTTCCCCTTTTAACCCACAAGGCCTAATACAGACAAGTTCATTCCCATTCCTTGGACACATCTTGATTAGACTGCAGGAGCCAGATTAGAAAAGTCTGTGTTTGCTACAGGTGACCCACAGAGTGGATGGTGTCTTTGTGAGGAATTAGGACCGTAAGCACGCCTTACAGTCAGGCCTTAGAGGCCGATGTGATGCCCTAAGGCCCCGTTCATTTCAGAAGCCCCTCAGGAGAGTTCCTTCCGGACATCTTGTGAACCCAGAGTATGACTGGGCATTGGGCTAAGCCCACAGACTTTTCTGGAGTTTAAAAAAAAAAAAAAGGCAGCAGGAAACATGCTTAAGTTACTTTTATGAAATGTGTGCTTCTGGAGGAATGAGGCTTCCCCAGGGAGCATTCTGTTGCCCCTGTTCAGTCAGAGCCATAAGCTTGCTGTCCAGGTACCCTGGCATTCTCCGCCAGCCTCAGGTGGAGCGCCGTCCTCCCTGACACACAGACGTCTCGTGGAGTACATGGGCTGCCTTGGTATAAACTGAAGTCAGAGCTGCTGAGCAGTACAAACCAGAGGGCCACGAGGTATATGGGGAGACATTGAGACATGTTCCTTATCGTCCTCTGCCTGGGTTTGGTCTCATGGGTCCCTGGGGTCAGCTCATTGCGCTAGAGGGAGGTGTCCAATGTTTGAGAAAGCTGCCAAAGTGACATGTCGGGGTCTGTTTCCTTTTTTTTTTTTTTAAATATTTTATTTATTTGAGAGAGAGGCAGTGAGAGAGAGCATGAGCGAGGAGAAGGTCAGAGGGAGAAGCAGACTCCCCGTGGAGTTGGGAGCCCGATGCGGGACTCGATCCCGGGACTCCGGGATCATGACCTGAGCCGAAAGCAGTCGTCCAACCAACTGAGCCACCCAGGCGTCCCTCTGTTTCCTTTTTCAACAGAGCAAATTCCAGGTTTGTCAGGCCTAAGTTCTTGTTAGAGTCTCGAGTGTATGGTTCTCACTGGCTTCTGGTCCATTGCCCATATTCTGTGGGTATCCAGGGCCTGCCAGTGTCTGCTGAAGCAGGACCAGAAGGCCGAGGGGCTGGGACAGATAGCAGGCCGTTCTCAGGCTGAGGAAGCGCTCCTTTAAAAAAAAAAAAAAAAAGGGCAGCAGGAAACATGCTTAAGTGTAGCTCTTGGGGCCCTCTGAAACCAGGAGCAGAGGACAGGGATGGCCCCAGGCAGCCCTCTATTACCTCACCAAGCGCCATCCCCATGACCTCAGGCTGACTGTCGCTGGCCCTGATCACGTCTGTAGTGACCAGAGCAGGCCTGCCAGCAGAGGTTTGGACCGCAAGCAGTGGCCTGTAAAGCAGGCCACCTTGATTCCTGCGCCCCACGCGTGTCCTGGTCATGCCCTCTCTGCACGTGACTGATGATCGGTGTAGAGGGAAGCAGCCATTTGAGCAATAAACTGTAACAGGTACTTTGCCTGAGCCTGAGAGGCAGAGTTGGCTTGAAGCTTGCTTCGGAGAAGAACGTTGAGGAAGCGCTTTATGCTTTCCTTGGGTTTGATGTTGGCTTCAGGGTACAAGCCCTTACCACACAGCAGTCTGGCGAAGAGCCCCAGCAAGGTGAGGTACTTGCTGGCCATCTGTGTGGCCGCGCAATAGTCAGGTAGGGCAACTTATGTGAGGCATCCTCAGAGCCCCCACCCCCCCCCACGCCTTCTCTCAGTGCTTTTCCCCAAGTCCAGAGCGTTTCTTCCAACAGCACATGGCGACGGGCTGAAAAACACTATGTAAAAAATCCTGTTGTCATGGTCCCCACTCTCCTCACGATAAACGTGTAGAAGCTTTGAGGGAATCTAGTAGTTGGCCTATGGCTCATGTGACATTGTGGGGAATATTGCGGGTTTTCCGCATCAGCCTTATACTCGTTTCTCAGACGTGCCAAGCTCATACCTGCCCGTGGCTGTTGTCCTTGCTGCTGCCTCTGCCTGGACCACCATCCATCCAAGGTCACGGGCAGTGGCTTTCCAGGACGGCCTAATCTGCTATAGACCCATTCAGTGGCGGCCTGCAGCGCCGATCACATTCTGCACTTTCCCCCGCTGTCTCTCTTGGTGGCACAGGCTACTTACTATTTGATCTCTTAGTCCCTTGTGAAGTCTGCTGCGTGCCCACCCCCCAGAGTGGGAGAAAGCAGGAAACATGCAGTCTCCCCAGAGTCTTGCTCGGGCTAATGGCCAGGAAATCCTGGCGGAATAAAATAGCTTCTCAAATTGTGACTTTGTATCCCTGTATTAGCAGAGTTTAGAATGAAACTTGGCATCTAACTGATGCTCCGTTTGCATACAGGTGGGCAATTTCACTCAGCAGCTTATGAGGATCTCCTAGAGTGTCTTTGTCAGACTCCAGCCTCTACGGTCGGAACGACAGAGGTGTCAGAGGTCTCAGACCTTTCAAAGCAATTACCTTTCGTGTGGGTTTTTTCTCCCCAGATGGGGAAAGAGAAAGGGAACACACCAGTGTCAGGGACTATTAGGTCATGAGTCTGTTTGGTTCAAAGTATGTCATGAACCTAATGGTCACTTGACTAGTTGAGGTGACTCAGCCACATGAAACCAGGAAGTGGGGAGCAGCACTGGGATGCGGTGTTGGCAGAAGTACGAACTGTGCAGACCCGTGGTTGGACAATATCTCTGAACAGTGCCCAGACTTCTTAAGTCAGCAGTGCTACTTCTAGGAATCTTCCCCACGTACAGGGATTTTCATGCAGCATTGTTTGTAATAGCAAAAAGTCGGAAACTACCACCAACGTAGGACAAGGGTTAAGAAAATCATGGTGAATCCATGCAACGGGCTCTTAAATTTAGAAGAACGGAGTCACTCTGTATGTATTGCCGTGGGATGATCCCTAAGGCACATGGTAAAGTAGGGGACAAGAAGTTCTTGGTATGCTAGTGTTTGTTTTTGAAAAGGGGGGAGGGGTGGAGAAAAATGAGTGTCGATGGGCATACACACGTGTGTGGTGCAAACATGCACATCTGACTACGGATCTTCTGGCGTATGCCTGGACTAACTCTGGGAGGATACACGGGAACCTGACGGCTTCGGTTGCCTCTGGGAAGAGGGGTGGGAATTGCTTTTCACTGTATACCTTTTGTACCTTTTGAATTTTATACCATGTACATGTATTATCTATTCAAAAAATAAAAGTTTTTAAATCTTAACTTGATTTCATTTTCTACCAATCAGAAACATGCTAGAAGATTCATGTTTGGTAGATCTGCTTTCCTTAGGAAAAATAATTGACCTCTCCCTTTCTTGGGTCTTGGGGGAAATAGGGAAGTGGAAAGGGGGCTTGCCTCTTCTGACAGCAGCTATAGGGAGAGGAAGCAGGGACGGGAAGGGGGCAGTGGACTGTGAAGCAGTTTCCCCACTGTTGGTTTGCCCCTCTCTCATGACAGTCACAGCACCCCCTGTTCCTCTGGCTTTGGGGGTGCAAAAGATGGAGGCAGTACCCCTGAGCCAAAGAGACGTTGCTGCTGGTAATCAGCACAAGATGCGTTAGGAGAGCTTCTCTTCTTACACGTTGTTGGGGAAGGATGAGGTGTCTGGAGCAGCTGTAACCATTTTGAGACCATGAGAAGACACATCCCGACATGCAGAGCTTGGGGCAGAGAGAAAAGACAGAGAGAGCCTGGTTGCCTGAAGGCATGACGAGCCTCTTGAACCAACCCAGGGGCCCCGCACCCCCGTATTTCTTGTTCCATGAGAAAAATAAATCCCTGACAGCTCCTTCATTCAACCAACAAATATTTGAGCTTCTGTTGTGGGTCAGGCCCTGGGAATATAGCTGTGAACAAAGCAGACAGAAGAATTTGCCTTCACTACACTCTAGCGGGGAAGACATACAAGCAAGGTAAGACCATGTAAGCTACAGCGCTTGTTGCTTCAGTGTGCTGATTAAGGGAGAAGGATTGGGGAGTGTCTGGGTTGGTGGTGATTTGCAATTTTATACTGAATAGTTAGGGACTGCCTTTGCATTCTTTACTGGGAGCTACCTTGGTTTTCATTCTGGAAACTACACCAGAGCGCCAGTTAATTTGCTGGCTACTGGAGATACATACCCCGTGGTGTGCCTCCTGTAAGGGCCTGCTTGGTGTCAGCCTCCTGGTTCTGCCCAGCCTTGCCGTAGATGTCACCAGTGTATCTGCCTTACAAAATGTCTCCTGTCCCTTATTGCCTCTTTGACCTGACTCAGCAACCCTGATTTTCTTTGAATTCTATAAACTGCACATTATTTTACATGCTTTTATTTTTGTCATGTAGGAAACCAGATGTTGTCTGTGATTTAAAAAACTATGGGTAGTTTCTTTGCATGAATTTAATTTTGATACCTTTTATTTTTTTTAAGATTTTATTTATTTATTTATTTGAGTGAGAGCACACAGAGGGGCAGAGGGAGAGGGAGAAACAGAGTCCCCACTGAGCAGGGACTCCATCCCAGGACCCTAAGATCATGACCTGAGCCAAAGGCAGACGCCTAACCAACTAAACCACCAGGCGCTCCTAATATTTGTATTTTTTAAAGATAATGTTTACATGCTTTCAAATTAATTCAGGTAAGAAAATGTGCATTTTCTAGACTTGTGTGCTGTTTTGTTTCAGAAGTTTGAATAAAAAATTGTGGTCAAATCCAGCCTAGAAAAAAGTTTCTCCACTGTTTGTCTGTTTAGGATATCTATGTTCTTAGCATTAAGGAAATATAAACAAACAAACACATGATTAGTGAGGGAATGAGCCATCGCTGAGGGTTACCTATGTGGGGGAGATGCCAGGCGGAGGGCTACTGAGGGTAAAGCCCTTGAAGTAGAAGCAGGCCCAGCAGGTGAGTTTTGAGGAATGTGGATGGCACCTGTGCAGGAAATCATTGCAGGGTTTGGGGATTTCAAGACAGATGCCTTGGCAGTTGCGCTGACCACAAACCAGGGAAGCAGGGGCAACAACAGGGAGCCCAGATAAGAGATGACTGATAATCCAGGTGAACATGTACCAGAAACAAAAGCCTTAGAGACTGTGCTTACCCTTTTTAAACCACACTCTGATTTTTCATGTTCTGCTTTTTTCACATATGGAGCACTGAATTATTTGTTGCCACTCTCCACTCCCACGGAACAGACACCTTTGTCATGGCATCCTGGTGGGTGGAATGAGCTTCCCCATCCCTTGACTTCAGTCTTTGGTTGGTCTGTGGGTTGTTAGCAGACTTGCTAGGAGTAAAGGTTTGGAAGTGTGCTTGGGTGGTCAGGCTTGCACACCTAGACCCAAACAAACAGCTGCTTGGAGCTGGACCCGGGAGAGCCCAGCCTGCGTCAGTGAGATCCCAGCCAACTCCTGGACACCTCCCAGACTCAGACACTTCTCTGTATGACCCAGTGTCAGTGTAGAGAGACCAGGTCAGGGGCCAGAAGAGCAGGCTTCTAGGAATGGTACCCACGTGGGGATTGCTGGACAGCAATCGTGGTCCGAATACAAACTCCCGTCCGACTTGCTGGAAGAAATATGGAGGCCATGCTAAAGGGGAGAAAAGGAGCATGCTTTATGCCCTGTACATGACTCATTATAAAATAATATGATTAGGTTAGCCCCATCCATCCTACAGACCTGGAACTTTGTGAAATTGGATTCTGACCTGAACATACTTTAGCAAATGAATCTCCACAAGGAAGAGACTAATTCCATCCTCCCACCCCCTTCTTAGGTGCTGCAAGCAAAGAGATTTGAGGCAGAGGAGAGACATTATGCTTATTAAAGAAGTCCCTGCAATGTTCATTATAAGTCAGATACTTTGTCAATAGACTGTTACTCTGATGCTCTCATTAAAAGGAATTACAAGCGCAGCCTTACATAGTCATCACCTGGTCTGTTTCAGAAATTAAGCATGTTGTAGGGGTGCCTGGGTTGCTCAGCATTAAGCAGCTGCCTTCGGCTCAGGTCATGAGCCCAGGGTCCTGGGATCGACCCCTACATCGGGCTCCCTGCTCTGCGGGGAGCCTGCTTCTCCCTCTCGTGCTCCCCCTGCTTGTGTTCCCTCTCTTGCTGTTTGCTCTGTCTCTCTGTCAAGTAAACAAAATCTTTTTTAAAAAAAGAAATTGAGCATTTTGTAATTATAATGGTAGCCAGGGAAAGTCTTCTTAACTGAAGAAAAGGGTCAAGAAGTTGTCACCAAGTCAGCAAACAAGCAACCTCGTTTTCAGAAGGGCTCCACATACGTAATTCCTTCTGCCTGGGATGCTTCCATCATGATCCACAATTAAGTCAAAGCCCAGGCCAAATGAGCACAATCATCAAGCATTCTACCCAGTAGAGTGAGTAAACCAAAAAATTCCACAAATGCCCCCCTGCCAACTCTACCTAGACTCTTCCTCTAAGGATCCTGCCTGGAATCCAATGAGAACAATGCAAGCAGACCCACTACACCAGGTGCAGGGCTCATGCTGCGAAACGCAGGCAAACACTGAAACATGGAGTCCAGGCCGACGTCCGTTGAGTTCCCGTCCTTTCCCAGCCTTGGAGACAGGCAGACTTGAGTCCAGATACCAGGGCTACCATGTACTCCTGTGACCACGGACAGGCTACTTACCCTCTTGGGACGGGGTTCAATGAGGAAAATACCTACCTTGTAGGATAGAACTAGGATTAAATGAGCATTTGTATATAAAACCCAGTACAACAGCAGCACATGGTGGGTGCTTGATAATTAGTATGAAGAGACAGGGAAGAAGATCTCTAACACCACCTCGTGTATTTCAGCCGATAGGGGAAAATCCCTGATAGCCCCAAGCTGAGCTCTAACTCTTCAAACACAACAGTGTGCCCATTCCTTTCTTCCCTGTCTTGATTCACAGAGGATTTGAGGTGGCTTGTAGGAAATAGACAGACTATGATAGTTAAAATACAAACAGAACAGAAAACACTAAGATAAGGAAAACATAAGTAGGAATTGGAATTATAAACCGGCTAGAAACCTTAGACACAGATCAATAGGATGCCAGTTCCTATACAGATTTCCAAAGTTAGGCCAGAAATATGGTTCTCTTCTTCCTAATCAAGGGAAAAATGGAAACATAATAAATTAAAAGTCCTCATTATCACATGAAAACATGCTTCACAAAGAGTGGAACAGATGACTTTACATTTTTATGTGAAATGCATTGACATGTTTCATATGACTTTTTCGTGAAGTATCTTCCAATGAAAGAATAAAATTCCAAAATATGACTCCAAGAAGGCTGGTGTAGGGAGCACTGTTGTGGTGTCCCAAATACTAGCCACAGAGGAATGGTTAGACCACATGCTCTCCCCTGACTGCCTTCGATTCCCTCCCCTCTATAGGACTGACATGGAGCAAAGTAGGGACTGTGGATGGTTTGAGGTTGTATGGGTCCTCAATGGCAAAAACACAAAGTTGGGTAAACAGAGGTGGTTTCTAATTCATTCAGTGACAAAATCTGATCTGACTCCACCCTAGCTAGCTATTCTTAGTCTTTTCTCACAGTGTAAATATTCATTTATTTTACTGCACCTGTTGAGTAGAGACTGCTGGCCCAACCCAGATGGGGGTGTTACCTAATTTATGCAATATACACCAGATTGTCTTTCTAACACTTAAAAACACTCCTAAGTTCCAAAGCCCATCTGGCCCCAAAGATTTTGGAGAAAGGCACTGTGGATAAACCCCAAAGTACAGGTCCTCTATGATATAAGCTTAAAGAATGTCTACATACCTCAAACATCCAGTGAGCTGATGGGGAAGTGAACTATTTGTGTACATTGAAAAACTGAATCAGTAAGCAATCAGCCCTTCTCCAAAATCACAGGGACCGTGGCCAGTGTGACTTAGTCCAGGTATCCCCTCTCATCCAGGCCCTGGGACCCCTACATGCCTGGGCCACATTTGGTATTTTCGGGAAGGCCAAGATTCACTACAGTGGCTTGGGGTGGTTGTGTCATAGACAGCAGTCATCCCTGTTTCAATGGCATACGTGAATGTGTGTGTGTGTGTGTGTGTGTGTGTGTGTGTGAGCAATCATACATATGAATGATTTTGAGCCTAGAAATCAATGCTCCAAAAGTATTTTTATTACACATACAAGTCCATATGTTGGAGTGCTGGGAACATTTCTCATAGCTTCTCTCCCTTGTTGGGAAGCAGAGAAAGGACCCCACCGGGGTCCTCAACACTGGCCGGCTGCACAGTAGAATCCCCTGGGGAGCTTTAAAACACACTCCTGCCTGGGTCTCACCACCCCCGCCCCTTCGGGAAGGTCAATTTAATTGGTCTAAAGACAATCTAAGCATCCAGCACTGTCTCTCACCGACGAAAAAAGAGCTCAATGATATAAATGATCAGCTTCTCTGAAAGCCTGATTCAGTAGATAGGGGTTGCACTAGACACGTTTTAGTGGGCCCCAAAGCGGGGCCCCGTGCAGACGGATCCCCTCGGAGAAATAGCGTACTAAAGGAAAGGCAAGTCAGCTTCGACTCTTGTGTCCATTCCAACCAGTTAGCAGTAACTAGAGAGCTGTCTGCAAAGGATCCCGAGGCAGACGTCCAGCTCCGTGGAGAAAGGTGCCGCGATCGATTAGCAATGTCTGCCACACACCACGGAAGAGGGCCCACGGGCACGCTTGCCACACATGCGCAGTCTTTCCAGAGAGCCGTGGGCATCGCTGCTCCTACGGTCCAGGCCCCACGTCATCACTACTCTGCTGTGGGGCAAGGCTCCCAGATGCCTGGAGCGGGGAGAGATACAGTTCCCTGCCCACAGCCCTACCTACGTGTCTTCCCGAGCCCTGGGTTTATCTCTGCTTGCTGAAGAGGCTCTTGAAGGCGTTGTTGTAGTTCTTGTTAAACGCTGTGTAAATCAGGGGGTTAAAGAAAGAATTGGAGTATCCAAGCCACAAGAATATGCTTTTCCAGATCGGGGGCAGGCTGCAGGCACAGAGGGGGCTGATGAGCTCCGCCAGGAAGAAGGGGATCCAGCACAGTACAAACACGCCGATGAGAATGCCCACCATCACGGCGGCCCGCTTCTCCTTCTGCTCCCGCCACGAGTCCCCGCTCATCTGAAAGGCCACCACCGGGCGTCGCGCCGTGAACACCATCTCCGCCTCATGAGGGGCCTCCTTCACCTTGGAACAAAGGAAACGTGCGGTTAACACACGAAACCTAACGCTGGATGATAAAGCGGCATGGGGCTGCTCCCGCGTGGCCAACACCTCTCCGGCAGCCTCGTTCAAGATGGGCTTACACCGGGGCACCCGGGTGGCTCGGTGGGTTAAGCCTCTGCCTTTGGCCCAGGTCATGATCCAGGGGTCCTGGGATCGAGCCCCGCGTCTGGCTCTCTGTTCAGCGGGGAGCCCACTTCCCTTCCTCTCTCTCTGCCTGCCTCTCTGCCTGCTTGTGATTTCTGTCAAATAAATGAATAAAATCTTAAAAAAAAAAAAAAAAGATGGGCTTACACCATAATCCAAACAAAATGTTCCATGAAAATGTTCCTGAAACTGTAGGTTAAAATAAGCCCCGAAGGAGGCGGGGAGGAAGGCCTGGATGGCTCAGTCGGTTAAGCATCTGCCTTCAGCTCAGGTCATGATCTCAACGTCCTGGGATGGAATCCCACATCGGGCTCCCTGCTCCAGGGAGAGCCTGCTTCCTCCTCTCCCTTTCCCTCTGCCTGCCACTCTGCCTACTTGTGCTCTCTATCTCTCTGTCAAATAAATAAATAAAATCTTAAAAAAAAAAAAAAAAAAAAAGCCCTGAAGCTTCTTCCTGGAGTGAGAGTGGTGGTGCCCACATTTTTGGATAATAAGATACAAAAAGGGAGAGAGGCAGATAAGAGCAGGAGCCTCAGTGTCAGACTCTGGCTGGAGTTCCAGCGCCAGTGTCCAAACCTGCTACTCCATCTGTGAAACTGGGTGACAAAGTCCTCTCCCCCCATCATAAGGCCACTGTGGAGGTGAACTGGGAATGTGCTGGATGCCCAGAGCAACCCCTGGCACATGCCCCCATTGGATACTCATGGAGTGGGCTGGGGGCTGGGACTAGGACCCCAAAGTGAACAGATCCCAGCCCAGCCATGAAGTTCAAAGCTGGAGAGGCAGCCTATAAACACCAATACCGCAAGAAATTATACAACAATGTGCTAAATGGATTCCGTTTAGATTCTGCAGTCCGTACTGCCTAGCTTTAAAACGACAACTGTAAATGCCTTTGCGGTAATAACTCCCATTGAAGGAGCCTGTGGCACATGGTCCACCCTGTCACCCCCATCCTTTGGTCCACTCCTGTTCACCTCTCAGGTCCACCAGCCCTCTCAGAGTGGCCTCTCTGATGCTATGAACTCAAACACATCTCCCAGTTTGGTACCCCTTTCTCCTCTTCTGTAGAGATCTGTGCAATTCTGGCTATTACACCTGCTCCCCAACCCTGGGCCAAGCTGAACCAGGGCTGGGACTGTGTCTTCCTTGTACACGCACCTGTCCGGCAGCAGCATCTGGTGCCTGGCCTGAGCTCAGGAAACAGGTGCTGAATGAGCCAGAGATCATGACAACACAACAGTCCGCACCTGCGTTTCCCTCCTCCCCGGGTGCTGCCAGCCGTGGCCACAGATGCTGGTGGCGCAGGGGGCCAAGAGACTCCCAGACTGGCATGCACACAACTGGGAGCAGCTGGCAGGACAGCCCCATGACCGTGGAGAGCCACACGGGACCGCAGCACACACACCTGCATCTCTCACTGGGTCAGGACGGCCAAAGCCAAAAGGCAGAGGAGCCCCCAGGTGGCCTGACCTCAGCACCACCTTCGAATTCAGTGTCTTCTGCTTTTCCCCCCACAGCCCCCAGCTCCTCCAGTTGGAAATTCACTACATCAGCCTAAAAACAGATCACAGTCATGTGGACAAAGTAGAGTTCTCTCCTTTGCCAGCGCAACACCTGGTCTCCTCCCGCCTGCCCCTTGGAAGTCAACAATGACAAGGCAAGGGAAGCCAGCAAGGGAACAGACAGCACTTACCTCTCCCCACTCTGTACCCCGACAGAGGCCAGCCAGAGCCCCTCTGATGGGCCATTCCAAGGTTTGCCGGACCCCCATGGGCAGGTGTGAGACCCACGTCCTCATCCCCCTTATGAAGAGACTGTGCTGACCTAGTCCCTCATAGTGAACCATCCTCAAGTCATCAAACAAGTCTCATCCACAAAAACGTGCCGTCCTGAAACCACCTCATGAATACTGAGCGATGTCGTGGGGAGGGAGCAATGTTATCAGCGCAGGAGCGGAAGTGGAAGGTGGAGAGTTTGTTTTCCTCCCTACGGGCTCAGAAATGGGCACTTTCCCAACAGACCTAAATGGCTTCCCAGGCACATGAGTCCCTTCCCAGGGTAAGGGAAATTCCAAATCCTTATTATGCTATTGAGGCAAAGAAATGGGGTGACTTCGGTTCCAAAGGGCTCCTGAGAGAAGAGGAAACAGAAAAGGCAAGTTCACTGAATAAGTCGGTTTAAAGGACCAGGCCTCCAGCACTGCGACGTTAGCAGAACCCAGCTCTGCTCCTCCACAGCATCTGTTTGCTAGAGCCTGCTACACCCCATGCAGAGGGAGATGCCCGAAGAGTGTGCAATCTTTCTAGAAACGGCTTCGAAGAGACTGAGTCAACCTGGGATGATGATTCCAGCTTGCAAGGAGACTGACTAGCTTGACTTTTGTCATCTGAAATGTGATATCCAATAGAAAGCCAAAAGAGGCTAAAAACAGCCCAGAGAAGTTATCATAAAACAGACACTATGCTAAAGGTTTGGAAGGGATGACTTGAATTCATTCTTGCATCCAACTTTTGAGGTATTATTATCTCCATTTTAGAGTTGAGAAAACACTCTGGGTAGCTAAATACCTTGTCCAAGATCACCCAGTTGCCAATGGTAAGAGCTGAAGTCAAATGGGAGTATTTTGAACTGGAGACCACACTCTCAAACCCTACCTGTTCTGCACCTTTAGTAAAGGTGATTGATCTGGATGGGTTCCAAAAGAATCTATTTTTTTCTTTTATTTTTTAAAAAGATTGTATTTATTTGTTTGAGAGACAGAGAGAGCACGAGTGGGATGAGGGGCAGAGGGAGAAGCAGACTCCTCGCTGAGCAACAAGTCCAATGAGGGGCTCAATCCCAAGACCCCAAGATCATGACCTGAGCTGAAGGCAGATGCTTAACCAACTGAGCCACCTAGATGCCACAGTAGAATCTACTTTAAGAATATATATGCTTTGGGGCACCTGGGTGGCTCAGTGGGTTGATGCCTCTGCCTTACGCTCAGGTCATGATCCCAGGGTCCTGGGATCGAGCCCCGCATCGGGCTCTCTGCTCAGCCGGGAGCCTGCTTCCTCCTCTCTCTCTGCCTGCCTCTCTGCCTACTTGTGATCTCTGTCTGTCAAATAAATAAATAAATAAATCTTAAAAAAAAAAAAAAAAAGAATATATATGCTTGGGGTGCCTGGGTGGCTCAGTGGGTTGGGCCTCTGCCTTCAGCTCAGGTCATGATCTCGGGGTCCTGGGGTCGAGCCCTGCATTGGGCTTTCTGCTCAGTGGGGAACCTGCTTCCCCCTCTCTCTCTGCCTGCCTGTCTGCCTACTTGTGATCTCTCTCTGTCTGCGTCAAATAAATAAATAAAATCTTTTTTTAGAAAAGAATATATATGCTTGAAAGAAGACATCCAGATGGCCAACAGACACATGAAAAAGTGCTCAACATCGCTCGGCATCAGGGACATACAAATCAAAACCACAGTGAGATACCACCTCACACCAGTCAGAACAGCTAAAATTAACAAGTCACGATAGATGTTGGCAAGGATGTGGAGAAAGGGGAACCCTCCTACACTGTTGGTGGGAATGCAAGCTGGTGTAGCCACTTTGAAAAACAGCATGGAGGTTCCTCAAAAAGTTGAAAATAGAGCTATCCTATGACCATCAATCGCACTACTGAGTATTTACCATAAAGATACAAATGTAGGGATGTGAAGGGGCAAGTGCACTCGAATGTTTATAGCAACAATGTCCACAAAGCCAAACTATGGAAAGAACCTAGACGTCCATCAACAGATGAATGGATCAAGAAGATGTGGTATATATATACAATGGAATACTATGCAACCATCAAAAGAAATGAAATCTTGCCATTTGCAATGATATGGATGGAACTAGAAGGTATTATGCTGAGCGAAATAAGTAAATCAGAGAAAGACAATTATCATATGATCTCTCTGATATGAGGAATTTGAGAGGCAGGACGGGGGGGCTGAGGGATACAGAAGGGAAAAATGAAACAAGATGAGATCGGGAGGGAGACAAACCATAAGAGACTCTTAATCTCACAAAACAAACTGAGGGTTGCTGATGGGTGGAGTGTTATGGACATTGGGGAGGGAATATGCTATAGTGAGTGCTGTGAAATGTGTTAAGCCTGATGATTCACAGACCTATACCCCTGGGGCAAATAGTACATTATATGTTAATAAAAATAAATTTTTTTAAGATTTTATTTATTTATTTGACAGACAGAGATCACAAGTAGGCAGAGAGGCAGGCAGAGAGAGAGAGAGAGAGGAGGAAGCAGGCTCCCTGCAGAGCAGAGAGCCCGATGTGGGACTCGATCCCAGGACCCTGGGATCATTACCTGAGCCGAAGGCAGAGGCTTTAACCCACTGAGCCACCCAGGCGCCCAATAAAAATAATTTTAAAAAAGAATATATATGCTTGAGATTTCTTCAGTATGGACATGTATGGCTTCCTGGTGATTTCTAGGGTCTCTGGCCACCAGCTCTGAACTTCTCCATCTCTCCTTGTAGGTCTTCTCTCCCCTAACCTCTTCACCCCGACCTCCCTCTGCATATCTATCTAAACATAAAGCCTGACCATTCAGGCTTTAAGGGGCCTCCGACCTCCAGTTAGAAACCTCCCTTAATCTGCAGGGAAGAGTACGGGCTGTTGGAGGCACACAACCAGTAGGACCTGGCCCTTTTGGGTCCTGCTATTAACGGAAAAGGGCTCTGAATACACAGAAGTTTGGAGACACCAAATGCCATGGCCAAGGCCACACAAGACGGGAAAAGCAGAACGAAGGTGTCTGCCTGCTCCATCTGGTTC